TTTTTGTCTATTTTTGTGTCTCCCTTCTGATGGGACTCTGTAGGATGAACGTTGAGATTTATAAGGGCACGGGGTGACCAACAAGGTCTGAATTGGTCTGTAATAAGGCAGGCACTGATAAAGGGTTGACAGGTATGCATTTATATTCTTAGTTTTTTCGGTAAAGTCACGAGCTGAGATTAGGAGTTATGGTCGAAACGTCGTGAGAATTTTTTATTGTTTTATATATATTTTATTATTTTGTTGTTTCTCTTCAACGTGACTTTACCGAAAAAACTAAGAATATGAATTACTGTAGTCACGAAAGCTTTAAATCAAAATTTAGGTATGCATTTGTAAAGCGCATTTCATTCATAGATCCCAATGCGCCATGTATGGAAAGTAGGAAATAATCAGAACCAGGGTAAACGGCCAGAATTAGGAGGTAGAGGACAGTTATAATAGGTGAGATTTCAATACCGACTAAATATATCTAACGATGACTGGCAGATGCTCCACCTGTGCTTCCCACTGTGGCAACTCGCTGCGTTTTAGCTGCCTCGCGCTCGTTGTTGTGAGCGTCGTTCCTATGCCCTCCCGATGATGTTAGAGGACGATCGCCTGACTTTTACCAGGCCAGGAGCGTAGATTGTATAGTACAGAGAGGGAAAAAAGTATTTGATCCCCTGCTGATTTTGTACGTTTGCCCACTGACAAAGAAATGATCAGTCTATAATTTTACATTTGAATGGTAGGTTTATTTGAACAGTTAGAGACAGAATAACAACAAGAAAAATCCAGAAAAACGCATGCCAAAAATGTTATAAATTGATTTGCATTTTAATTAGGGAAATAAGTATTTGACCCCCTCTCAATCAGAAAGATTTCTGGCTCCCAGGTGTCTTTTATACAGGTAACGAGCTGAGATTAGGAGCACACTCTTAAAGGGAGTGCCCCTAATCTCAGCTTGTAACCTGTATAAAAGACACCTGTCCACAGAAGCAATCAATCAATCAGATTCCAAACTCTCCACCATGGCCAAGCCCAAAGAGCTCTCCAAGGATGTCAGGGACAAGATTGTAGACCTACACAAGGCTGGAATGGGCTACAAGACCATTGCCAAGCAGCTTGGTGAGAAGGTGACAACAGTTGATGCGATTATTCGCAAATGGAAGAAACACAAAAGAACTGTCAATCTCCCTCGGCCTGGGGCTCCATGCAAGATCTCACTTCGTGGAGTTGCAATGATCATGAGAGCGGTGAGGAATCAGCCCAGAACTACACGGGAGGATATTGTCAATGATCTCAAGGCAGCTGGGACCATAGCCACCAAGAAAACAATTGGTAACACACTACGCCGTGAAGGACTGAAATCCTGCAGCGCCCGCAAGGTCCCCGTGCTCAAGAAAGCACATATACATGCCCGTCTGAAGTTTGCCAATGAACATCTGAATGATTCAGAGGACAACTGGGTGAAAGTGTTGTGGTCAGATGAGACCAAAATGGAGCTGTTTGGCATCAACTCAACTCGCTGTGTTTGGAGGAGGAGGAATGCTGCCTACGACCCCAAGAACACCATCCCCACCGTCAAACATGGAGGTGGAAACATTATGCTTTGGGGGTGTTTTTCTGCTAAGGGGACAGGACATCTTCACCGCATTAAAGGGACGATGGACGGGGCCATGTACCGTCAAATCTTGGGTGAGAACCTCCTTCCCTCAGCCAGGGCATTGAAAATGGGTCGTGGATGGGTATTCCAGCATGACAATGACCCAAAACATACGGACAAGGCAAGAAAGGAGTGGCTCAAGAAGAAGCACATCAAGGTCCTGGAGTGGCCTAGCCAGTCTCCAGACCTTAATCCCATAGAAAATCTGTGGAGGGAGCTGAAGGTTCGAGTTCCCAAACGTCAGCCTCGAAACCTTAATGACTTGGAGAAGATCTGCAAAGAGGAGTGGGACAAAATCCCTCCTGAGATGTGTGCAAACCTGGTGGCCAACTACAAGAAACGTCTGACCTCTGTGATTGCCAACAAGGGTTTTGCCACCAAGTACTAAGTCATGTTTTGCAGATGGGTCAAATACTTATTTCCCTAATTAAAATGCAAATAAATTTATAACATTTTTGACATGCGTTTTTTCTGGATTTTTGTTGTTGTTATTCTGTCTCTCACTGTTCAAATAAACCTACCATTAAAATGATAGACTGATCATTTCTTTGTCAGTGGGCAAACGTACAAAATCAGCAGGGGATCAAATACTTTTTTTCCCTCACTGTATGTGTTTCATATGTACGGTATATATATACACCAAAGACAAAGATCCCCCATATAACCTTTGACAGACTGTTGGGGCAAATGCTGTGAGCGAGCACCTATGAAGGCCGGCACAGCACACGAGAGGGTGGGTGGTCAGCGCCATGCCCGTCCGCCTTTGTCTCCCCCAGTGGCGATGTTTACACACCTCGCCAGGTACTCATTTGAGGCTGAGCCGACCTAGGGTAGGCCCAGAAGCAGTTCAGATAATCGTCACCGGTATTGGCCGTGAGCAGGAATCGACTTCGGGTAGCCGGGTTCGTTGTAGCGCAGCGCGCTAACCGCTGCCTCGCCGCTCCCCACACTTATTCAACAAATACAAAGATATTCTTAGCTCTTTCGGTAAAGTCACGTTGAAGGGAAACAATAAAATAATAAAATATATATAAAACAATAAAAAAATATTTTATTGTTTCCCTTCAACGTGACTTTACCGAAAGAGCTAAGAATATGAATTACTGCAGTCACGAAAGCTTTAAATCAAAATTTAAATACAAAGATCCCCCATATAGCCTTAACAGACTGTTGAGTCAAGTGTGGTTAGCGAGCACCTTTGAAGGTCGACACGGCACACGAGAGGGTGGGTGGCCAGCACCTTCCCCGGCCGCCTTTGTCTCCCTCGTGGTAACGTTTTTACACATCGCACCAGGTATACGATTGAGGCTGAGTCGATCTAGGGGAGGAGGCCCAGGACAGGTTCAGATACTCGTCACACTGGTGTTGGCAGTGAGCGGGAATCGAACTCGGTTATACAGGTTCGTAGTGGCGCAGCACGCTAACCGCTGCGCCGCCGCTCCCCACACTATATGCATACACCGTACACATCGCGGCAGACACTCTACCTTGGGCTGGCTCCGCGTCTCCGTTCACGAGTGAGAGGCTTAATTCAGTGAGACAGCCTCCCGCACCCCCCCCCCCCCTCCAAGTCCGCCCGCCTCCCACGACACGGCCGCAAATGCCTCCCAATCAATAACTGTCAGAAAAATGAAAGGCAGCGGTTGAATATTCAATAGCGTCCCCGAGTTAAAACAAAAAAAAACATTAAAGAAAAAACGCACACATGCACGCACGCGCGCGCGCACTCTCCTATTTTACAGCCACGCAGTCGCTCAACACCCCCCCCCCCACCCATTTCTAACCATCCCCACCCCCCGGCAGATAGGATAATGAGCTCTCGTTTGTGTATAAAATCCTTACGCGTTATTTGCGCTATGAGGAAGAGTAATGTCTTCATCATTTAGTGAATTGCAACACACATACGTATGAGCGGAGAAGCGAGCGGTGGCGGAGCGGTTAGTGCACTGCGCTTTCTGAGCTCAGCCACCTTGCGTTTCATTGGCGGCCGCAACTCGATCACCCGCTTACTCCAATCCCCACTGACCAGCGTGGCGTTGTATGGTAAAGCGACAGCGGTGGACAAGACTGCGTGAGGGAGGAAGGCTTTCGTCCAGCTGTGGATTGGTTTAAGTTATTTTACGAGTGGATTTTTTTTTTACTTTCACTGCACGAGATCCCTTGTGCTAAACCGTTTGCTGTGGCTTTCAAGTGCAGGTTATATTAATAGTTAATGTATACACGATTTGCACGTGTGATTCATTGCATTGTAATCGATTTATACGTTAGTGCATTGATTGTCTACTTGTTTTTTTAGTAATTGATTAAGTTAATGATTGGTTTGTTTTATTAATTGGCCAAATGTATGTACCACGTTAAACTTATTTCCCACCCTACATAGCCAGCCGTGCTAAAAACGAAACACAAAAAGCCAAAAAAAATTGCTAGATGATGATTTCCTAATATCGGAAGGAAGAGCGTTCCAGACGGCCGCAGAAGCGCATCTGAAAGCGCGCATTTAAGTGATGATTTAGTCATAGTAATTTATTGACTGTGCTATTATTTTGATTTAAAGCTTTCGTGACTGCAATGATTCATATTCTTGGTTCTTTCGGTAAAGTCACGTTGAAGGGAAACAATAAAAGAATAAAAATATATATAAAACAATAAAATTCTCACGACGTTTCGACTGCAACACAAGCAGTCATCATCAGGTGTGAAAAACAACGACTGATTACTGTTTCGGTTGATTTGTAAATAATCGATGTCGTGAGGAATTTATTGTTTTATATATATTTTATTATTTTATTGTTTCCCTTCAACGTGACTTTACCGAAAGAACCAAGAATATGTGCTATTATTGTTATTGCTTCGTATTATGTTGAATGATTAAATCCTTGATCGATTGATGAATTAATTCAAAGGTATATCTGTTACTAACATGGATTTTTTTTGAAAGGTTGGTTTATTGACGAGTTTATTTATTGACTATTTATCTTGATTTGATTTCTACTCTGAGTCATTTGTGGATGTATTGACACATTGTTTATTCGTTGTTTCATCGATTGTTTCGTGTTTATTTATTGATTATTTAATCGTATTAATGGTGAGTTTATTGTTTTTTTATTATAGTTGTGAAATCTGTTTTAGGAACTATTGTAATATTGATGGACTGATTACTGTTTCGGTTGATTTGTAAATAATCGATGCATTGCTTGGTTCAATCCTTTACTGATATGCTGGTGTATTTATTGGTATTATGGTTAATCGATTGAGGTATTTGTTGATATTAATTAAAAACCAACGAGCTAGCTGATTGTTGGTGTGTTCATTGTATTTCTCTCTCTCCTCATTGATGTATTGCCTGCCACAGATATCCCGCACCAAGACGTGGAGTTGAACTCTGTCATTAACGCTCAAGGTTGCTTCCTCAAGGAGATCATGTCTCTCGCCTTCTCCCCTCTCCTGGTGACCCTCACGCTCCAAACACCACAGGAGATTTAGCGGACGAGAGCGTTAGGCCACTGGAGAGTTGGTGAGTGGGAGAGTTTGCAGACAGCAGAGTTAGCTGATGGGAGAGTTTTGGAACGGGACAGTGAGTGAGTGGGAGAGTAAGAGGATGGGAGAGTTTGTCGCGATCTGTCTGTGTTTGTCTATTGGTCTCTCCATCTATCTCATGCAAAAACCTCACTCCATTAAAAGTGCTCTGCAATAGACTCGTTGCTCTTTGTCGACTGCACGTTGTCGACAACGAGTTAAATCTCTTGAAATGCGCCATTGTTGATGAATGTGAATGAATTAACTTATACGAAATATATATATATACGCACAGTTAGTGTTTAGTGGCCAATGAGCAAATCGCCTGGAATGCTTCCGATCTCGTAAGATCTCGGCAGCTAAGCAGATTTAAGCCTGGACAGCGCTTGGATGGGCGACCGTATATGCGTCACAGGTTGTTATAGGCTGTGGGGGGATGGGGGAGAGACGACATGGGGGCAGCAGAAGGCAGTTGCAGCAATATCCATTGCTGTATTGTACGTCTATGCTCCCCACCTTCACCATCCCGCCGAATGACCAGCGTGGTGAATTATGGTCAATTGACCTTCACGACCGGTACGGCATGGGGAAGCCCTCATCATCCAGCAGTAGATGGATATATGCAGATTAGGCAGAGTAGGCTTCATGATTAAATAAATGTATAACAAGTTAAGCATGCTATAATATTCATCTTTACGGGCGTTGAGTTGTTCCTGTGGATGGCTGTTAAGAACTACGGACGCTTTTACTTGCTCAATGTATTGCAATGCAACACTAATGCGTTGCACGGACACCCACAGGAGACGTATGTGTGCAGGTGCGTGTGTACGTCGTCTATGAGTGTAAAGAACACGTGCTGGTGTGCACGTGAGCAACTACTGCATAATTATAAATGTTTATGTTAAAATAAATGTAGCCGCGTGGTGAATTAAATTACGTGTTCGCGTGTGTTTGTGTGTACGGATGGATGCGTTGTGTGTCCGTGTGCGTGTGTGGTTATGTGGCCACCCACCCTCTCGTGTGCCGTGCCGGCCTTCATAGGTGCTTGCTAACAGCACTTGCTCCTGCAGTCTGTTAAGGTTAAATGGGGGATCTTTGTATTTGTGGTTAGGTGCTCGCCAACAGCACGTGCCGCAATAGCCTCTTAAGGCTATACGGGTGATGTTTGTTTTTGTATACGTGCTTTGCGCACAGCGCTACGAACCCGGCGAACCGACTTCGATTCCCGCTCACGGCCACCAACCCCTGTGACGATTATCTGAACCGGTCCTGGGTCTCCCCTAGGTCGACGCAGCCTAATATGAGTACTTTGTGCAGTGCGCCAACATCGCCACTCGGGAGACAAAGGCGGCCGGGCGTGGTGCTGGCGGCCCACCCCCTCGCATGCCGTGCCGGTCTTCATAAGTGCTGCTCGCTAACAGCACTTGCTCCTGCAATCTGTTAAGGCTACACGGAGGGTTTTTGTGAGTCTGTGTGAATGCGTGTGTGTGTGTGTTGGGTTACGTCTCCCGTTAAAGACATGCTGTAGGAACAGTTCGCGTTTACATTTTGCTCGTGAATGCGAATTAATAATACTAACTCAAATCCCGTTTGATCACCGTCTGTGCTGCGGTTACTTACCCCATCATCCCTCCGAGGCCGATACAACGAGTAACAATTTGTTTTAAGTCAACAGAGAGCGAGCTGTGGGGGTGGATTACTGCCCACCCGACGTATCCATTGCTGGATAAAGGCTTCCCCAAGCCATTGCTATCTCGAAATGGAACTATCCACTTCGCATCTGAACAAGAGCTGATTTAATCACTCCGTGTAGCCATGACTCACCGTCTCGCCACAACATATCCTGGCCTAAGTCCCACTTTTATTAACCGCCCAATACTATGTATCTCACCTGCGTATGTTTTCTAATCCATATGTTCCTCTTTAGTAAATAAAGGATAATTATACCACAAGTGTTAAGTCTACACATTGCAGCATAAAGACGATGAAGACTCCTTAATTTACTATTTATATATATTTAATTGCTGGTTTCAGAGTGCACTGCGCTAACCACTGCGCCACCGCTCGACGCCCCATAGGCTTGACCAAACTGTACACAGTATTCCAAAACGTGTTATAAAATAAAAGCAGAGACTTTGTTTAAGATGGTTTATTTTGTATCCCGGTTGCTGAGCACAGACCAAGCGGCCAGCAACAAACATCGCATTACTAAAGACGTGATAGATAAGAGACGGTATAAGAGTGTTCCTTGAATGGCGAGAGTAAGTAAGAGAGAATTTCAAAGTTTGAGCGGTGCGAGGCAAAAAGTTGAGAGGGAGGTGCGTGGTGTGTTTACAAAACAACGGCCAAACCACACCTCCCTTCACACCCGTCGTCATTCGCCCCACACCGCCTTATGTCAGAAACATAAAGTTCTAAACATAGGCGGACGGGCGGACTACACGGGCAAACATTTGCCCAAGGCTCGTTAGGATTTTACGCTGTCCTTTACGTGGTCCCGTGCCGACTGACCCACGCGGAACGCGTCCCCGTGTTGTCACGTCTCAGAAGCCGGTTATACTTCTAGGCGCGTGATGGCACCGAGATGGTTCAGGAGCTCAACGCCGTTGTCGAGGTCCTGTTGAAGCGGTATGGGCGAGGACTTCATCCAGCAGAGGGGTGGCAAAATGTGCATTTTATTATTTTATTTTATCCGTTACTCTTTTCCCGCTGTTTCTCGAATTAATTTCGGCAGAAAGACAAGAACAGCAATATCGTGGATAAAAGTATGTTGGCTTGGTCAGGACGTGTTGCTAAAAGGGATTATGATGTGATAATGATGATGATTGGCGTTCTAAACTAGCAGCGGATTCTATATTTGAAGCTTTCGTGACTGTAAGGATTCATACTCTTTGTTTTTTTTCGGTAAAGTCACGTAGGTGACTACGTAAGTGACTACGTGACTTTACCGAAAAAAACAAAGAGTATAGCAGCGGATTATCAGCCAAAGTGAGGGATTACTGCCCAGACTACTTCCACCAAGGAGACAGAGAGCGCCACAGTGGTGAGATGTTAACTCCCTCGCCTGCTATACAGGGGTCGTGAGTTCGATCCCGACCCTTGACGCCTGTGTATGCATGTTCTCTCTCTCTCCCCGTGGTCGTGTGAATGTTTTCTCCGGGTCATCCGGTTTTTCCTCTCGACATTTAAAAACGTGCGGAGCATTTGGCAGCTATAAAGTTCCACGTGATGATAATCCACTCCGTTGAGCTATCATTCGTGGCGAGATCGCTTCGTGAAAAATATCTGTATAGCTCAGTGGGCCCTCTCCCGGTAAAATAAAATTAGTTTAGTTTAAGTGCAATGACATCCAGCTCGTGTGCTGGTGGATTATCCAATGTGCCGATTGTGAAGGCTGCAATCTTAGCAATCGGTCAGTAGGGGTCTCCATGGAGCAGGCGGGCACCTGGCCGAACACCGATCTGGAAAGGACAGGCAAATACGTTCGTATGCTGAACTTCTTTTGCGCCGTACGTAGCCAACCACGCTAATCGGAGGTGCGGGGGAATGACAACAAGCTAAACACACACAGCAGCTGTGAAGAAATGAGCTCTCATTGTAGATGACTTAAAATTGTACAGTTCGAGTGGCTTCCGATGATCAGAAGAGCGTTCCAGACGGCTGCAGAAGTGCATCTGAAAGCGCGCGATGCAGCGTGGCCATCACTCGAGGAGGCCTTTATCCAGCAGTGGATCGATCATGACTAAAGATTATGAATCATTAATTGCAGCCCAATACGACAAATGGCGCCATGAAAATATGCACTCGGAATCGTAGACGCGCCTGAGGTCAAAGTTACAATGCTCGCGAACACAAACTTGGTGTAAATAGCGCGAACTTATCGGGTACAAAACGTTGGCATTAATGCACGCGGTGAATGCCAATCCACTGCTGGATGAATACCACCCGATCCGCCGCAAAACTCTTCCGATTCGGCGATGTTAGCAATACACGGAGGATCGCTCCATATCCTCGGGGGGATTCCTTCACTCGGACGCGTTCCGTTCCTCGGCTCCGTCATCTCACGATCATCTCACGGACTCACTATTCTCATCGGCCACTATCTCGCCTTGGGGCGACGCGTCATGCCCAAGCTTCGCTCCCTTTTCTCAACCACGTTGAACGATCTCGTGTAACGTGCCGTATGTTCCCCAGGCCACGTGTTACTCCGCCCGTCCATCTAGCTATCTATCGTCTCTCAATGTAATTCAATGCATTCACCTCTCCACGCTTCTCGGACCTTGAGCACTCTCCCCTGTGCGTGTGCTCATCGAAGCAAGAATAAACAACAGACAGAGAGACTCCCCGTGGCCTGCATCGACTTTTGGGGAATGATGTTCGCGAGTAGCAGCACCTATGAAGGCCGGCACGGCACACGAGGAGATGGATGGGCAGCACCACGCCCGGTCGCCTTTGTCTCCCAAAGTGGCGATGTTTTTACATCGCACCAGGTACTCGTTTGAGGCTGAGTCGACCTAGGGGAGGAGGCTCGGGACCGGTTCGGTTAATCGTCACTGGTGTCGGTAGCCGTGAGCGGGTATCGAACTCGGGCGGACGGGTTCTTAGCGCAGTGCGCTACCTGCTGCGGTACCGCTCCCCACAACACACAACCAAAGACAAAGATCCCCCGTATAGTCTATTAACAGACTGTTGGGGCAAGTGCAAGCGCTGTTAGCGAGTAGCACCTATAAAAGGCCGGCACAACACACCACACACACAGAGACATCTCCCACACACACACAGAGACAACTCCCACACACACAGAGACAACTCCCACACACACAGAGACAACTCCCACACACACACACACAGAGACAACTCCCACACACACACACAGAGACAACTCCCACACACACACAGAGACAACTCCCACACACACACACACACAGAGACAACTCCCACACACACACAGAGACAACTCCCACACACACAGAGACAACTCCCACACACACACAGAGACAGAGACAACTCCCACACACACACAGAGACAACTCACACACACACACAGAGACAACTCCCACACACACACAGAGACAACTCCCACACACACAGACAACTCCCCCACACACACAGAGACAACTCACACACACACACAGACACAACTCCCACACACACACAGACAACTCCCCCACACACACACACAGAGACAACTCCCACACACACACACAGAGACAACTCCTACACACACACACAGACAACTCCACCACAGACATACAGAGACAACTCCCACACACACAGACAGACAACTCCCCCACACACACACAGAGACAACTCACACACACACACAGACAACTCACACACACACACAGAGACAACTCCCACACACACACAGACAACTCCCCCACACACACACAGACAGACAACTCCCACACACACACAGAGAGACAACTCCCACACACACACACAGACAACTCACACACACACAGAGACAACTCACACACACACACAGACAACTCCCACACACACACACAGAGACAACTCCCACACACACACACAGACAACTCCCACACACACACACAGAGACAACTCACACACACAGAGACAACCCCCACACACACAGAGACAACTCCCACACACACAGAGACGACTCACACACACACAGAGACAACTCCCACACACACACACACAGACAACTCCTACACACACACACAGAGACAACTCCCACACACACACACAGAGACAACTCCCACACACACACAGAGACAACTCCTACACACACACACAGACAACTCTCACACACACACAGAGACAACTCCCACACACACACAGAGACAACTCCCACACACACACAGACGACTCCCACACACACAGAGAGACAACTCCCACACACACACAGACGACTCCCACACACACACAGATGACTCCCACACACACACATAGAGCCGACTCCCACACACACACAGAGAG